ACCGGCGGCTCCACCCGCACCGGAACCGGTGGCTCCACCCGCACCGGAGCCACCCGCACCGGCAGCACCGGAACCGCCCGCCAGGGAGCCCCGGTTCTGCCTCCCGGTCCCGCTCCCCGGTTCCGCCCCCACTCGCGGTTCCTTTCCCCGGTTCCGCTCCCCGGTTCCGGTCCCCTGTCCCACTCTCGCTCCCTGGTACCGCCCCCAAGTCCTGGTTCCGGTCCCGCTCCCCGGTTCCACCCCCCGGTCCCGGTTCCGGTCCGGGTCCCACTCCCCAGTTCTGCCCCCCAGTCCCAGTTCTGGTCCCGCTCCCCGGTTCTGTCCCCCGGTCCCGGTCCCGCTCCCTGGTTCCGGTCCCCGGTTCTGGTTCCGATCCCGGTTCCGGTCCAGGTCCCGCTCCCCGGTTTTGCCCCCGGTTCCGGTCTGGGTCCCGCTCCGCGGTTCCGCCCCCGGTTCCGGTCCTGGTCCGGGTCCCGCTCCCTGGTTCTGCTCCCCGGTTCCGCCCCCCGGTTCCGGTCCGGGTCCCGCTCTCCCGGTTCCGGTCCCGCTCTCCGGTCCCGCTCCTCGGTTCCGGTTCCGCCCCCCGGTTCCGGTCCGGGTCCCGCTCCCCGGTTCCGCTCCCCGGTTCCGCCCCCCGGTTCCGGTCCGGTCCCCTCCCCGGTTCCGACCTCGCCGCTTCCTTCGCTGAGAAAGAGGCAGCGCGGGGCCTCCCAGCGCTAGTCACAGGGCCGGCGCTCTCGCGAGAGCCGCGCGGCCAATGGGCGCGCGCGAGGCTTCGGCGCGGCCAATCAGTGCGCCGCCTGCTCCGCCTCCTCGCGGGGCGAAAGTCCCGCCCCGCGTGACGCTACGGGGGGCGACGCGTGACGTCACGCGGGTCGCCTCGCCGCTGATTGGCTGCCGCGCGCCGGCCGCGGGAAAGGCCGCTGCCACAGGGCGGGACGAGCGCGGGCGCTCCCCATTGGACGACGCCGCATGAGAGCCGGGCGCCCATTGGCCGCAGCGCCGCAGTGCGGCTGAGGCGGGCGGCGCGATTGGCTGGCGGCCACGTCTGTCGCTTGATGGGGTTCTGCGGTTTTGGGGCGAGACCGCGCGGTTTTGGGACTTCTGGACCCCTCCCCGCCGGGTTTGGGGTGGGGGGGCGCGCGCTGCATGCTCCTCCTCCCCCGCGCTCTGATTGGCCACGCGCTCGTCCCGCCGCGCCCCTATTGGCCGCGCGGTTGCCGGGCAGACCCCACGGCGGGGACAGAGACACGGGGCAGCTCAAAGACCTTTAATGGGGCGTGGCCGCGGCGTGGCC